TTTGCTCAACGTCGTCCAGCATCGCGATTTCCTTCTTTCGTGGCGCAACTGGTGATCACATTTTGTTCGTTTCTTCAGTACGCTAAATCATGTGGTTGATTTATTAAAGCTGCAAACATCAATATTAATGTAGATAGAAAAATTATGTTACAAAACCATCAATTTTGCATGAATTATACGTAAAGAAGTTCTATCAATTAGCATTTGTATATTTAATATTTATAGATTAGATAAACTTGATCAGTTTTTTGTATCTTATTGGTTACTTTTCCACATATTACTAATAAATTTATCACAATGTTTAACTTTGCAATTTATAATAATATTGTAGTACAACGATAACGAGTCACTGTTTTACGATCCGATCAGCTTTATGATCCGATTTTCGCTTTCACTACAGTCATAACTATAATTTAAATCAACACATTTACGGCGTATTAAATCTCCGTGTGTTTACCAATTGGAGGAGCTTTAGTTGGTCACACTCAAAGTGTGACACGACACGCGGGTAGCGTAATTAAATAGCTTCATTAAAATTGATGTTAATTTGGTGAAAGGGGCGATACTTTAATTTTGTGAAAGGGCGATATTTTAATTTTATGAGAGGAGCAGTGAATTCTCTCTTGACGCGACAGGCCACTTTTATCTGTTAAATACCAGGCATCGTGTCATAAATAAAATTAATACTGTTACGTGTTACGACGATTTTAATTGGCAACCGAACGCGATCGATTGCTCTCACAACATGAGCATTCACAAGTAGATAGTATTTAACTATGATTTGTGCACGTCTGTGCGTTGTAATTGCTTGTAAGACGGTAAAGGAACAGGTTGTTCATTAGATCCAAATCTGAGGCTTTATGGCACGTGTAATTATATTTTATGTAATACAAAATAACAATAATATACGTATCATAAATATATATTTACAATTTGACATATAACTGGCTTTTAAAACGTAAAATAATTATATATGAGTGGTCTAAAGCAGTTGTGATTTATGTAACCTAAAAAATGTTGCGCTTATTGCACACGTTTTACAATGAGATATTAATCAGGTTGGAGGTAAATAGAACATTATATTTTAATGGCATATACTTGTTGGAAGTTGCGCTGGAAATCTCTTCGCTCTTACGCAACACAAGTTTCTTCGGATATATTCGCGCTTGTATCTCAGACATCCATCGCGCCGCAGACCCTCCGTGAAAAACAACGGACGAGGTTTGTTCAACCTGCTTAGACGGAAGTGACGTCGAGCGTACACTCGCGGGGCGACACGGCTCGTTAAGTGCCGCGCGGAAATAACTCACGTATGGGGGTATCGTCACGTCTCTCGTGGTAACGCGCCGGAACGGAAACGCAGATATACGTATACGAGCGAGCGAGCGTAAGTGCTGAGCGGGAGGACGGTAATCGCGCGCGAAACTTATGCGCGAAACCTTCGAGAGAGCCTTCGGTGCTGATGTCCAGCACGCGCGCGCGCGCGATGCATTACGAAAGGTGCGTCCTCCTGCGAGAGAGTACGCCAGGGAGTGTCTATCGCGTCGATCCTGCGCGACGTAAATGCATAGCCTTCGCAGCTGGCTCTCGCCCTTTCGTCGGCGCGATGTTCGTATAATACGTCGTAGCGATGATAGCGAAATATATCGAGGAGAACGTTGGAATATGAGAATGGAAATTAGAGAAATCGAAGTGTGATTCCAGCGATATCCTGCAATCTGCATTTATATTGTAGAATTTATACGGAATTGAGAATATAAATATAACGGCGTAACTCGTAAATTTCAACATTCTCGGATTGTATCTATAAAATAAATAACTAATCTTGAGAAATTGTAAGTAAAATACGCTTTGTATTTCTCATGTCAGTTCCGCCGGCATGACGCCAAGTATTTATCTATCGCGGTACACGCTTCGGCTTACCTCGACCCGGAAAATCATTATCAGCGTTCAGCGCATCCGAGAGCTTTTCGTTACGCTGTCATCCGTCTCTCGATCAATCTATCGCACATTGTCTTTCGTTGTGCCGTCGGAAGGACAGGAGAGAGAGAGAGAGAGAGAAAAACGACACGGTGACCCGCGCGCGACTTCCCATGGTATCTCGTTGAACCCCTATAAGATGACTAAGCCGAAATGGGCGCCTTTTCGTGCGCGCCGAAGACGGTTGGCTTTCTAACAATGGGACCGACATCGCTTCTCGTTACGAAACTTGACGCCTTTGTTGTTTCCACGTGGAGCACATACATCGGCCGATACCGAGGGACCGTGTACGTGTGTGTGTGTGTGTGTGTGTATGCGCGACCTCACGTGATCCTCGCTACATGACAATGGACCTGGTTTCACCATACAACACCTCGTACGGTTTGCACGGTGGCACCAACTCACGCTTTTCATCCAAGAAGCGGAGATCACGTTTTGAATCTCTCGCTCACCGTTAGATTTTTCTCGGAGCCCCTCGAATGCACGAAATCCGGGAGAATTGTAACGATTTTCAAAGGCAAGTCGAGCGTCGCTTTAAAGTCGACTTAAATATATGCAATTCGTGCAATTCAAGTGAAAGCCACTTTTCTTTCCGAATATTAAAATAAAATTATATTACAAGATTCGTATTGTATAATAAATAGCATTATTTCGTTATACTTTTTGACGTTCTAATTATCTTCAGATAAATAATGCTTTAAATAATAACCGCAATAATTAAGTCATCGCTTATTTCTCGGTTGAAGTTATTTATAGGTTCGCCAACCTGTGCGACGCTACTATAAGCGTATCAGAAATGTACATTGCTTCAGAAACGTTTTATTTTTATGCGCGCGAGGCCACCGGAAGGAATAATTAGCGGGACAGAAATAGTTTCGCAATTTCGTGTCTCACACCGGCGTGAACCTTGCTTCACGGGCCTCATCAAAGCCCCCGACGTTTGTCACCGAGGTCGTCGTCGTCGCCGCCGCCGCCAACGTCATCACCGGCCGATTTTATTTCCATTGCTTCGACGGGAAGAGTTTCGAAAGCCCATCTGCTTCGCAGCGTCGGGCCAACGCGCCGCGCGAAATGCACTCCGAAATCCCAAAAAATCTATTTTCCGCCGACGCGCCCACGCGTTACTTTTCGGCTGATATTTCGCGCGTGCAATGCCGCGTATTTTTATCCGCGTGGCCCACATCGGAGAGAGAATCCGCCTGTCATTATTATCGGTCTCTCGCGTAATCGAACGAGGAAGAAGCGCGGGAGACGCGAAAAGATGAAACCGCTCCGTTTCGTCTGCGACGAAGGCCGTAAAGGCCATTTCGAGCGCTAGCACTCAATACCGCGCCTCACTGCGCGAGATCGTGTTAGTAAATTATTTTTTACGACGTATATCGCGTAAACTTTGCCCTGGAAATGACGTGGTGTTTTCTATAAAACGCAGGATTTACCGCGACGATAAAAGCGCGCGATCGTTCCTCCGAAAGTCGGGTCTATGAACCTTCGCTTCAGTTTCTCAAGATGAATTAGGAACATACGATTTGGTCGTGCCAGTTAATCAAATCAGACATTAAGTGGAATAATAATATAAGCCGGTAATAGTCAGCCATAAATCTTCGGAGCTAGTAAAATTTAGAACACCCAAGAGACATCATTTGAGCACAATACTTAACTATTCTGATATATAATACAAATTCAAGACATTTATTTTTAAAATATTAATTAAATGGGCGAATGTGCTGCGCAATATATACTCGATATATAACTAATTGTTATTAATTTCTGAAAAAATTATATCTGTCTTCGCGCATAGAATATCCATCGCGTATTTCTTCGATAATATCCTGACTCTATTAAACACAATTAATTTAATTTATACAATTCTTTTTTACGATACGCATAATTAGTGGTGAAATAACGGTAAGTTTCGTTTGAAAGTCTCGAGTTTCTCAATCTGTCGGTTCTTCGGAAGTCCCTTCTTATTACACCAGCCGATGACCCTTTGCGGTTATCGAGCCAGTATAATTTCTTTTTCTCTTTACCACCGAAGGCAGCAGGAAATGCTTGACTTGTAACCTTAAGACCCCATCGGTGATTACGGATGGTAAAAGTGGCCGGCGCACGGAACACTTTCTACAATTAATTATAGTACACGGGCGCGATCCGCTGCCCTCCAACACACCGGCGTTCTTTAATTCGTCGCCACAAATTGATTATGAAGCGCCCCGTTTTCGTTCGTTAAAACATTCGAGGATCGTTAATCTCGCGTAACGCTTCTTTCTCTTTCTCGCGCGGACATCGTGTCGGGCAGCATGAATCACACATGCTTTCGAGACACTTTAACCCGCTGTAATTCCGCGGAGGAAGCGCCGAGACTTTTACGGATTACGAACGCCAACCGGCCAGTTTATTATCGTTACTTGCTCCGCGCTTGTGCCCGAATCGCACCTTGCACGCGACGGGATTATCCCCCATGCGAAATAAATCGGTTCGACTTACCAAAGCCGCGCGTGCGGAATTCCAAGTGGAGTTTCAATCGAAACTCGGTTCCCGGATCCGGAATGAATCCAGATTCGAATCGTGATTCAGACTGATGAGTCACTTTATGACATATCGCGTTTTTGCTTAGAAAATTGGGCCGCTTAGATAATCGTGACTAACCGTGGCCATTTATAGACAATTAAAAATGCACACATAATTATATGGTAATTACAAAAATTATTTGCATGTATAATAGTACGTCGTCTAAATATAAACGCTTCAACTATAATAAGGATGAATTAAATTCATTACGCTGTGAAATTAATTTGTTGCTTTCGATAAAGCACGATCTCACTGATTCAAATAATTTGTGATTTTTATTTTTTTATTATTTTCACTGTTATATTATTACTTATAGTATTGGTCATCGTAAGCATATCACGCATATGTATACATACTAAAGAGTTTCACAAAGACGTTATGCAATTATATGCGTTAAATTGTTGCGTTAGAATTAATTTTTAATTTTAAATCGTATTTATTTCTGCTTACAGGGTGGTGGTGGTGGTGGCGGCGGCGACGAGTCTGACGAGGATACGCAGTGCGCCCTGAGCGAGAACTGGACCTTCGAGAAGAAGACAAGACGCTGGTCCCGCATAGTCGACGTCTCGCAGGCGAACGTCGAACGACTGCAGGCGATTGCGGGACAGAACGCCGCGTCCGAGGAGGAGTCCGTCGATGACCGTCTGGAGGCCGAGGAAGCGGACGATACCATGCTGGAGAACTTGCGCTACGGCAGCTTACCGCCGGGCACCGTACCTGACGAGAACAATCCGCGATTCCGCAGATCCGGCTCGGAGAGGCTGCGCGACGGCGCGAAGGCCTTTTTGAGGCGCGTGGAGTCGTTGAAGTCGCGGCGACGGAAGCGCCAGAATCGCGACGGGGTGGTGATCAGCGGTCCCCAGGTGCTCGACGTGATGTCGATGCAGCAGAAGATGAAGGAGCTGAACTGCGTGGACGTGTCGCCCACGGGACCGGCGCCGGTGTCCTTCAACGACCTGCTGACGGTGTCGCAGCTTCAGGTTCCCGGCTCGCCGGTTACCCTGCCGGCTACGCCTTATCACCTGCCGCCGTCGCCGCTGGCGAATGCGCCTAGCCCCTTCGGCGACGATTCCTCCAGCTACTGCTCGGACGGCTCGCAGGGCGGCGGACCGACGCCGACGCCGACTCGCACGAAGATGAATCGCGCTCGTCGCTTCCTTCACCGCGGCAGAGAGGATCAGGGCGCGCTGAGCGACTCCGAGTGCCAGCCGACGAACTGGCGACATCGGTACTTCCGCGACGCCAACAGCAACCACGCGAAGGTGCTGGAGTATGTGAACGCGCATCCCCAGAGTCCTAAGGATTCTCCTAAGAACCCGCCGATCAGCACGCGCGGCGGCAGTTTGAATCTCGGCAAGGAGTCGCAGAGGTATCGCGACAAACTCGCTCAGGGCAAGGAGGAGAAGACGGGGGGGTCCATGAAGCGGGAAGATAAGATGCACAAGAGCTTCCGACACCGCGACGATTCCTATCGGGACGGCAAGCCCTTATCCAAAGAGGTGACGGTCTATCGAGATAAATCCAGATCCAGGAGCTCGGAACTGGCCGGCAGTCAAGAGAGCGGATCCACCGTGGCCAGCAGAGACTCTGATCAGGAGGAGGAGTCGCCTAGACACAAAGGCACCGTCGTCAGGTGGCACAGCTTCCAGAGAGGCTCGCTTTATCCCGAACCTTTGGACCCGCTGTGCCCCAGAGCGATGGCCTCCATGTCCTGCGGACAGCTCCTGGTTCTGAGGAAGCTGGCGTTGTTGAAGCTCACGGCGTGCATGGAGCGATATTGCCCGACCCATCGCACCGGCTGGAACTGGGAGCTTCCGAAATTTATCAGGAAGATCAAGACACCCGATTACAAAGACAAAACGGTCTTCGGAGTGCCGCTTTTGTTGTCCCTGCAGAGAACCGGCCAAGCATTGCCCAAGTGTATCCAGATCGCCCTGAGATGGCTGCGTGCCAACGCTCTCGACCAGGTGGGCATCTTTAGAAAGAGCGGCGTCAAGTCGAGGATACAAAAACTCAAGGTCATGACGGAGACTCAGGGCGACAACATCAACTTTGACGGACAGCAGGCGTACGATGTCGCCGATCTTGTCAAGCAGTACTTCAGAGAGCTGCCGGAGGCTCTGCTGACGAACAAGCTCTCGGAAACGTTTATCGCCATCTTTCAACGTGAGTTTTCCCATCTCCGCTGGTTTATTTTTCTTTTGCAGACTGTCGAGGAGGAGAAATGTCACTTTGCAATGTGCTCTTGCAGACGTACCGGTGGAATTGCGACCCGACGCTGTGCAGTGTGTGCTGCTTCTGCTCCCAGACGAGCATCGCGAGGCGCTGGAGACTCTGCTCGACTTCCTCAACCACGTTGCCAGCAACTCGCCCTACAACCAAATGACAGCGTCGAATCTGGCCGTGTGTCTCGCGCCGAGCCTGTTCCATTTCAACCACAGCAACACGAACGTGACCAACAGGTCGAGCAGCGTGTCGCCACGTAGGCGAAAGACCGTGGGCATTCCCGATCAGCGGGAATTGTCGGAAAACAAAGCCGCTCACGACTGTCTTCTCTATCTGGTCAAGATGCATCGTGAATTATTCATGGTGAGTGCCGAAGCGTCGTCATTCGTCGATCGCAATCGCTTCGTTCGATCCGCAGGCGCGGAGCTCGCTCGCTCGCTCGCACGAGTAGGAAGAAGGGCCCGGCTCATGCTTCTTCCGGTTCTTTCAGGTTTCATCAGACATGTTGACGCAGTGCCACTTTAACTACATGGAAGAGAGCATTCCAGTGGCGTTGGAGGAACTGGGTTCGGAATTGAAGCAGGATTGGAGGGGTTATCTATATGCTTGCACTACGGCATTGTTGAAGGAAGCGCGAGAAAAGTTAGTACATGTCGTCATTATGATTAATTTATTTGTGAAAATTTTAAAACGATTAAAACAGATCAATAAAATTCATTCATTAGACTGGAATCTTATATTATAAAAATTGGTAGATCTAGCAATTTTCAGAATTTACATTTTCTTCATTACAATGCATTGAAATCTTATATTTTAAACGAAGACATAGTCTACATTGTTAAAATATATATTTTATTCGCTAACATCTGCGTTGCTCTTTTAAGATTTTTACAGAACCATTTTCTGTTCAGTAATAGATAGATGTAAAACAAAAAATGAAGTAAATTAACGCTAAGTAACTTGTTTCAGCAGAAGTCGCGGTTGGGTCACAGTGAACAATCCTGCTGATAATAGTGTAGAAATGGCGTATAAAAAAGTAGGCGACGGTCACCCGCTTCGTCTCTGTCGAGTGTCAACGGAAGTCGAAGCTCCGCCGAACGAGCTGCTACATCGTGTGCTAAGAGAAAGGCATATCTGGGATCCGCAACTTTTGAAGTACAGATTGGTAAACAAGTTGGACACCAATGTGGAGGTCTTTCAATACGCCACGGGTAATATGAGCCCATTACCCGCCAGAGATTATTGCGTATTAAGGTAAGTCAATAAAATTATATTACTTATATATATAATAATTAATTTAAATTCAAATATAATACATGAAAAATTAATGATATTTTCAATAAAAAAAATTTGATATTAAAAACATTTAGGACAGTTTTCAACCAACATAATTAAATTTTATAGATCCTGGCGAAATGACCTTCCCAAAGGCGCTTGCGTCATTGTGGAAACATCCGTGCAACATCCAGACGCCCCTGTTATGCTCGGAGGGACTCGCGGCATCGTTCTGGCCTCTCGTTATCTTATCGAGCCGTGCGGCAGCGGCAAATCCCGCATTATGCATTTATCTAGAGTCGATACGAAGTAAGGAATGTTTCCCCCTCTAGCAATACGGTCATCTTTATTTAGAATTCTTGATATCTTGCTTAGGAATGTTTATCAATCTTATTTACATTTGGCTGAAATTAACTGTGCATTTTATTTACAATCAGCTGTGTTAATTATATGAAAATTTAAATAATATTTATTTATAACAAATTTGTTTTCAGGGGTCGCACACCTGAATGGTACAACAAGAGCTACGGACACATTACTGCTCTTCATCTGAGCAAAATCCGTAATTCTTTCAAGCACACTACCGACGGGCCCGAGAGCAAGGTTTGAGAGCAAGATACCGTGCAACAGTTGTTGCACGGCTCTGACTCCCCCTCCGTCTCGTTGCTTCAAGTTCCCGATGAGCAGTATGAACACAGGATCCTAAAGGATGTGCTACAGGTCCAGCCTACCATCGACGAGGAATAATTTCGATTAATCGATTAGTAACCAAAACCCACCGATGTTGTAGTTAACTTTGTTCAGCAACCGGTTCTGGATTCGAGATAAGCAAATCCCGCTTTTATCGTAGTGGTAGAAGAATCCTCCGTGTGACGTTTACTGTCCAAAGATCTTGCCGTCCGCTTGTCGTGAAAGTCGCGAGGATCAAAATGTAAAGAGAGAAAATAGATGATCACTCGACGATTTTAATAACGATGGCTTACGCACATCTCGGTAAATCGGCCATTTTGTGATTTAAAGAACGATCTGTTATTTTGCTATTTTGATGTTATTGTTGTACGAGAGTTTATAAATTTTATCGACTTTCGATCGTAATCGAGCGCGATCTTTAGGATCATGTCTCGTTGCGTTTGTTGAGCTGATAGCATTTTAAGAGTTTAAAGAAGAGATCGAGAAATGGCCGATAACCATTTCCGGTTGCGAGATAAAAGATGAACGTCATTCGGTGTTTTCGACGACTATGTATATGTGTTTTGTGTGAGGATAGCGATTCTATGGATTTATTCTGTACTACATAATACGTTCGTATCTCCGGTAAAAGTAAGAAAGATACGCAAAAATATGATTGCAAACGATGATATGATAAAAGTCGATAACACTAATAAAATATAATTTATTAGATAAAAATTTCTGATTTTTATACGTTCATTATATTGATTTTTGTTAAAAAGTAACGGATTCTAATACAATAATTAAATTTTTTACTCTTTGTCTTTATATAGAAAAACTTTATTGTTCGATGGGATGTTAAATATTTTGTTGTAAAATTATAATTAACACATCTCAAAGTGCAAAAATAAATTTGAGGGACCGAGTTTTTACTACATAGAATCACTTTAAATTACAGAATACACCCACCCCGGTTGTAGTGATCGCGATTAGCTGTAAGTAAAGCCGCATTAAAGTTGATTCGGCATACGTGCTGAAATGCGCGCCGATCTGTATTGACGCAATGAAGATGTTGATTTAATGTTCCCGTCAGGCGCCTAAAGTATGACGAAGCCTAGATAGGGTACTGTCACACTCAAGATTCGCATTTCGTATGTTTCTTTTTCCGGACCAAATGCCAATTTTTCTAACGTAGCATATCATGTTTAAGATAGTTGACATTCGTTGTGGTTGGAGAATTTTTCTCTTCCATTAATGTGCCGCATGTAGACGGCAAGTCTGTAAATGTCGCGTATGCATATACACATATGTCTATTTATAAACGTGCTTTTATAAGCACGTGTTTGTTATATGTGAAAGAGATCATGTTTTAACGTCGGAGTTGCACGAGACACTGCTTCACCGTTTAAATTGTTGTGCGAAAAAACATGTTATGATGGTATAATTAAGTGAAAATAGTTCTTGGCTATAATTTTTCGAGAAATTCACTGTGGCTTTTTGTATCTAAAATACCAAATAGTTTTATTTTAACTTTTTTTAATCTGTAATCGATAAGATATTTAGAGCATTTTTATTTTAATTCTTGTAGTATGGACGGCTATTCAAAGAAAAAAAGTGCTCGCTATAACTACAGGGAGAAGAAAAAGATGTCTGGAAAGTGATTATTATAGCTGCGAAATGTATATGCGCAATCCTAATTAATTATTTGTCTGAAATGAACGATTCTGGATTTACAAATCTCAAATTTCAAGTAAAACTTTCAACTTATTACAACTTTTCTGGGTGAAAGTATTTAACAATTACGTTGATTTGAGTAGTTCCGATTTAAGACGAAATCAATGAGGCAACCATACGAATCTCGCCCGATCAATGTTTGAGAGTAACGTTTAATGACTAAAAATAGCCGAACTGCTACGATGACGCTATTGTTACAGTCGCGTATGCAACACACACACATACACTGAATTTATTCATAAATCGCACACATACGCCGGATTTTTGAAACGTTACATTTCGACGAAAAATTGACAATATGCTTTAAAATCGGATTTTCTGTGCTTTGCGTTTCGCAGTTGCCCGCGTTAGAACGTGTATAAATATGAATTATAAAGTATAGAAGAGCCTTGTATCTAACAATTATAGAATATTTATTTATTTTCAATTAATATTACGGACAGAATTGATATAAAAGCATTCTGCAAATATAAGTGAAGCAGTATCTTTGTGCAGCTCTGATTATTATCGTAGATCTATCGCCGAGGCTGCGATCGTCGCGGCCGCTCGAGCAATGCGAAAGGATTTTGAGTAAAGCATAAGTTTCCAAATCTCGTTGTTTCATCATGCGAGTTGCAGGCAAGTTCACTCAATGTAAGCAATTGTCATTGTTACTCGTGTCGATGTTAAAAAAAATAAGATAAAAAAAACATCTGTTTTCGCTATCTGTTTGAAATCGTCACGAGCCGACCAATTACGCTCGTGAATTTAGGACATGTGTTTAGGACGCTTAATCGTTCGGCATGTTTGTATGCAACAATTATCATAGGGACCATCTTATGAATGTAACAAATAATTGGACGGAGTGTTTTCATGCGGTTAAAATTAACAAACGTAAACTGAAAATGTTATATTTCATCTAAACTACTCAACGGAAACGCGACATGCATAATGATCAATCGAACTGTATACGATACATCGAAATTAAGTGATCAGAATGATGCATCCAATTAATTTGTTACCTGAAGTTCCGCTTTACACACTCTGCACAATTATTTTTATGTTCCTGGACTACCTTCATGCAGACCCCAAACAGGAAATGACCAGCGCATGATGCACCTCATAATCGAATCGAATTTTAAGTGTATTTTAACGTAATACTAGTCACTTACATTATAGCCGAGAGTTATGGATTATGATATAAGAATATCATAGATTTTTATTCTGCAACGTTGCGCCAAGAATATTTAAAAATATTAATTGCTACTATATATTATATATATATATATCAACGTTAAGTAATCATACGCAAATATATCATATTTTTGTGTCCAAAACGCCAGTAGAAGCGCGACCGCCGAATGAAGATGTTGTCGACGTTTCTTCATATTTGTAACAATATATGAACGTCTTTATTCTTGTAATCCGTGTTCCACTAGAATGTAAATATGTATATTACATATTAATGAGCAACACAGAGTTATATATACTCATTAAACTGTCTTTTTATTTTTATAATTCCACTCCCGTCCTCTCGTTTGCTTGCTTAATATTTAGTTAGCTTTATTTTATCAATCATTTATAAATTGTGCAAATTTTTCATTTCAATCTTTCTTACACAATGATATAAAGTGATTCACGCTAGTACTGTTTTTAAAACGCCTGATTTCGCGATTATTTTTCACTTGATAAAAATATACACGCACGCGAGCTTCCTCAAATGACGAGAGTTCGAAAGTCAGCAATTTAAAACGTGTTATAGATATTTTCACGTATGCGTAAATTATCTTTTATTTGAGAAAAATTCGAGAGCGACTTGGCGGTTTTCGAAAGACTCTTAGCGTAGAGCTCAGTTTCCGCTATTTGCATCCAAAATTAGTATTGATAGACCATTATCGTGATTAATTATTAGATATAAACATTGTTTCGACCATTATTGATAGCACCACGGATTTCGAATTTCCGTGCTCAATCGTGGGATTAATTAACCCGTGAGATGCATGAGTAGACAAGGATAAATTACTATGAAATTGAAGTATAGCAATAATAAATATATTTAATAATTGTTAATGCATGTACAAATACTCTTTTTCATTAAATAAATTATTTTGAATATAACATCAATTTTTTCTTTGCACATTTCAATACGCTATCGATTCGAAATCAATTGTGGTTTTAAAAAAGAGAATTGAATATGTGACTGGAAATATATATTGCCAAGACTGTAAGTATACAAAAATCTTAACATATTTTACATATCGTATTATCTTATCTATCATAATTAAACATTTTATAATCATCCGCTATAGAATTAAAGATATCTCTCATTTCTGCTATTTTAAATTACAATATAATTTTATTTAATGGTTGGAATTTACAATAAAAATAATTGCAAGACACAGCTCTTTTAACATTCTAAATTATATTTCTAGATATAGCTATTGAAAGTAGCTGTAGATTATGTTAAAGGCGTTTTTTGTAAACTTATCTCTTACACCTACGAATTGCACACAATTATGGTTGTTATGTTACGGTTTCTTGCTATCTCTCAACCACATTATCTCGACTGGTGAAGAAACAGTGGACTCTTTCATGGCTGTATTTAAGAGACAAAGGCACGTGGATATCCAAGAATATATTTAAGGCTGATCTATTTGATTATAAATATTGTTATTGATAGTGCGTTCTTATTTAATAAATTGCTGATTCCTTATTTTATTTTGTAATCAATTGATCAATAAATTCGCTATTTTTGGTTTTTAATTATGCATTTAATATTTCCAATTTCCTATGCTTTTATTATTGTTAGTGAAATCATTTAAATGTAACCAATCGTAACAAAATTTGACTTTGGCTTGTGACATGTGTTCTATTCATGAAAAATCGATTGAGTAAAGTATCGAATGTGAATATTCAACTTCAGGACTTTAGGACGACAGAAGCCTTTCCAAATCCTTTTCGGCGGAAATCCGGCTGACCCATGGAAGCTGTCGGGAGGCTGCAACAATCCGACGGCTGTTTCTCGCAGCAAAGTTCGACGGAATCATCTCGCAGCAAAATTCGACGGAATCAGCAGTACTGTTCTGATTCCTGAGCAGGATCTTTTCCCAGGCTCGAGCTCTCCGACACCTCCTGCCCCGTCTATCTCCGGATTCCACTGATGTTCGCGAAAGTTTCGTATCCTGTCCGCTTCCCGCTCGTGTCCTGTCACAAATATTAATCGCCGAGCCATTGTCCGCCTTGGTTACTTATGCTGTGCCTACGTCTTGATATTCCTCAGCAATTCCCACATCGTAGGTGTCCGGGATAATACAAAATGATACAAATGATACAAATTAAATGACAAAATGATACAAATTAAAATTAATCTACAAACTAATTAGTATTAGCATAATTATGCAATTTCACCGGAGAGATTTCGATACGCTCGCTGATTTTAAATACGAAAATTGGTGTCCAAAATTCGACCGAGAGCAAGAGGACAATGTCAGAAAATATATATGAGCACCTCAGAGGTATACTATGTTAAATCACATTCTTTCGAAAATTAAGTTATTATTATCAGAAGAAAAATCTCTTTAGTATCCTTCTCCTGAAATATGTCGTGTGTACTTAACATAGTATACCTCTGAGGTGCTCATATATATATATATATATAATAGGATATATAGTATTATATTAATTAATACCTATATATATATATATATATGCTGATATATATTATATTGATATATACATATATTAATAACAAAATGTTACGCAAAGAAAGAAATTAACTTTCTCAAATTGCAAATATGTACACCCCCAACATTTGTCTAACACGGGAGGTATTACATCCTACGTACTCCACGTTCCTTCTTTTCGCGACGTTATCGAACAAAGAGTAAAAAAAGAACGGAAATCAAAGGATGTAGTTCAAATAAGAAGTGGAATCTTTATAAACGCTCCATTAATAATAACATCCGTCTGGAGCTAATTGATAAATTCCGAAAAACAAATTCATCATCATAGAACATTCTCTGACCTTTGATTTCCTGAATGTCCTCCAAAAGGGAGGAAAATCCGAACATTGCAGAATTTTACTCCCGAAACCAGAAGGATATAAAAATCGAGCTCTCGCCCATGAGCGACTCTTGTTCACGACTCCGATTTAGTTACGTCAGTTTAATTACGTCAGTTATTATACAGCCTTACCTGTTCGGTTTAGTTAAAGAAACCCTGATGGAAATATTTTTCTGAAAATATAACGACATTTTGCTGAAATGTATTTGGAAATTTCTCTCAATTGACCCCATTAATTAATTTCATAAATATTTTAGCAATTTTTCGTTAAAAAGTAACAGTTTTCAGTTTAATTCAATAAATTTCATAATGTCTAATATTTCAAAACTCTTTTATTACTTTTCAGCAGTATATTTTAACTTTTCTTATATTTCATAGTATTACATTAAATTTTTATACGGAAAATTATGATTTATTTTGAAATATATTCAGTAATTTTTTAAAAACTTTTATTTTACTTTTCATTGATTTCATTGATTTCATAGTACTTTCAGCAAAATACTTCCATCAGGGAAACAGTTTTGCTAACTTGTTCATGCACATTTTTTTTTTCTCTCAAGTGCTCAGTTATATATCTCCCTAGACAAAAGATATTTTTTCAGACATCTTTTAGATGTCTTTAAGACATGCGTGTTGTCTGAGTCACTTAAATTCGGATATGGCAAATAGAAATAGTCGCAAATAGAACAATTTTCATTATTTCACCCCTCTAGACGAAAACTCTAAGCAATAGTCCAACTTCAGCTGTTACGCATATATGCAGAATTTATGCAGTCGAAATACGTGATCCGTGATCCGGACCTGATCAGTTCAATTGCTATTAAAAATTTCGATTATTTCTGTGATCATGAAAGAGTATAAACGAAGAGTATAAACGAAGAGTGTAAACTAATAATCAGCAGGAACTTATTCTGTCTGCGGGACAATCAGTGGAGCGAAATGCGAAAGCTTCTTAGTCCAAGTTTCACATCCAGCAAAATATAAATGATGTTTGAACTGATGTGTGAGTGAGCAAAAAACTTCACCGATTATATATCAGTAGATTATATATTATGCCTGTGGAATATCCTTGTTTATAAGGAATATTCTATAAACCTGCCCAGAATATGTTAAAATCAGCAGTAAACATATTATATAAATGTTTACATAAACATTTACATAAATGTACATGTTACAAATTATTTTGCATTTACATTATATAAATTTATATAATTGTTATATAAATTCATATATTTATATAATTGTTTTTACAGAGTTTTGAGCATATGATAATTTTATATATTATTAATTATTAAATTATTAAAACTCTGGTGTAAAAACAATTAAAATGTATTTTTATTTAGAAAATATTTTTCATTATTTATTTAATTTCCTTCCCAAGTCACTCATGAAAAATGCCAAGAATGAATCTCGAGAAACAACGCGAACACCGGACCTACTACTCGAGGACTATGACAGTCCCTCGAAGCAAAGGCGTTGACCAGAATCTGTGGCCGAAAGCCACGAGATTAATTAAATAATCTTTGCCATTTGTGTTACAATAACACATTGGCACAAATATAAATTAAAATACGCATCCGCGGCATCTCTCAACCCGGTCTAAAGACCTTTTTTTATGTATAAACTATATTATCAAGGTTGGTTATCAAGTTACTTTATAAAAGTAATTCGTTACCGTTACCGTTCTTTGTTCTAAAAAGTAACTCGTTATCGTTACTCGTTACCAATTTTAAAATGGAACTTGTTACCGTTACCGTTACTTTTTGAGTAACGAATCGTTACAATTTCCGTTAACTGGATGCGCGAATGGTAAAATTCCATCACCAAACCTGCACAAAATGCAGGTATTAGCCGATCGTACATCTCTGGTAGAAAAATCACCATGATGCTAGGTTGGCGCTAACTTACTTGCCTCACTGCCTGATAAGGAGCTAGTATGGCATGCAAACTAGCGCTAGACACAAAATCATCACATTCTTCCAGTCTAATACCCGACCGTTTTTTTATATATAATGTACATTTTTCAAATTTACTCTATATATCTTCATTTCTCAGCTCAAAGAAATTTAAAGAGTATTTTCCAGATAGATAACTCTCATCCGGAATTAAAGAGCTTGTATATTATACGATTCGCCTTATCGATGTTTGTATTGTATCTACATTACGCAATACGCTACTTATTCACTCCAACAATTAATTTGGAATATTATGAAAAGGTAAATATTGCAATTTTGTTTAAATATAATAGAAATAATATGATAAATGTATATCATTAATAATTTTTTTATGAAAACAATTTAAGCAACTATATAGCATTTCATATTACAGTTTATAATATAAAATCGATGTTATATTCTGTGAAATAATATAAAGATTAATTATATAATAATATCTCATGCATTTAACTCTTATTTTAATCATCTTCAATTTCTTAGT